TCAACAGACAGCCCTGAGGGGAGCCAGTGCTGAGGGTTATGGTGGAGGAGAAGAAGTTGTGGATCTTCACAGACTGTGGTCTGTTGGTTACGATATCCCGGACCCAGTTGCAAATGGAGGGGCTTAGTCCTAATGTGAGTACCGTATTTTCCACCATAAACGTTGCTCCGCCCTATGGCAGCTGCACGAGTGTGTACGGGAGGACTTTAACAAGAATTTAACAAGATTTGCTCAAAATTATAGCAAAGTGTGTCTCAGCTGAACTTTTAATTAATAAATGCACTTTAATGGTCAAATTAGCTGCATTTCGTCGGGGCGGTGCAGCGAAATGAAGCTGGTTTGACAGTTGCTCCAAGCAGCAAGCAGAACGAAGGTGGGAGGCTATGGCAAGCCGATTGTGTCATAATAGCTGGTGAAGATTCTCAGTCATTCGGGACATGGTAAATTCAAAAAAGTTCAAGACAAAAACAATAAAGTATAAAGTAAAGTATAATAAATAAAGTCCAGTTGTTTTTGTCTTGAACTTTTTGAATTCGTCATTATAGCCACTTTTACCTATTACATGATACGACATGCCTTACTACTCTTGTGCCATCTAGCAGCTGAAAAATGACAGTGTTCAATTATTTCAGTCAGAATGAATGAAAACGATCATGTCTCAGACAAAATTTGTTTATAAATATGGGGAAAAATCCATAAATACGTCGCTTTGGCCTAGAAGTCACAGGTAGGGATGGGTACCTTTCTAAAAAAGTTGGTGTCAGTACCTTCATTTCGGTATCGGTTCCTGAAAAGGTACTTTTTCAGTACCAATTTTATAATTATAAGGGGGAGTGGTAGGGCAGAGGTTAGAAGATGGGCTTGTGATCGGAAAGTCGCAGGTTCAACACCCAGTACCGTCAACATCAAAATGTGGGTGGAAAAGGTGAAACACCCACACCTCCCTCCACCCTCATTTGCCCCACTCTGGGCCCCTGAGCAAGGCACTTAGCCCCTACCATCTGCTCTCTAAACAGGTCTCTCTTGAAAATGAGTCCTCATAGCTCAATGAGACTACCTGTATAAATGAAGGGTAAAAAAATTTTAAATTAAATTTAAAAAATTGTTGATATTAATTCTAACAAGAAGAAAATTACGTTACACATTACAGTGCAAATCGTGAGTTTTATTTTTTAACTTTGGTATTTTTCTATTCCAAGCAGTTTTCTTACATAAAAACTAAAATAATTTCCAGTTCAAAAGACCAGTTACAAACCAGTGACACGTCAGTGTTTAATCAGAGAGTCAGAGTCAGAGTTTCTTTATTGTCATTCGCACCTCATGTGGTACATGTGGTGGAGCGAAATTATGTACACGGGGTCCCAGTTACATCCAACAATAAAATGTATAAGAAAAACAGTAATAACATCTAAGATATGAACTAAGAAAAACATCAACTAAATATACACTAAGCACTCATAACATAAAACATTGAACATCAGCACAAACATGAACATGAGTCTGTGAGCAGATGTGCACGCATGAACACATCAACATTGAAACAGATCAGCAGCAACATGAAACAGATCAGCAGCAACATGATATGGTTTTTCACAGTGATTATTCTAGTTAGAGATTCATGAGTCTAACAGCCTCAGGGTAGAAGCTGTTCCTCAGTCTAGTGGTTCTACACTTAATGCTCCTTAACCTCCTTCCTGAGGGGAGTGGGGCAAAAAGTGTGTGTGCTGGGTGGGAGGGTCCTCGTTGATGTTGATGGTTGTTTTGATGTGAGTCATGACCAGTTTTTCAAAGCATTTAGCGACTATCGGGGTGAGGGTTACTGGCCGGTAGTCATTCAGTCCAGTCACTATGGAGCTTTTCTAGGAACTAGCATGATAGTGGCTGTCTCCAGGCAGGTGGGAACAGTTGCCAGGGTGAGGGAGGAGTTAAAGATATTGGCCAGCACCTCGCAGAGCTGATTGGCACAGTCTCTCAGCACCCTCCAAAGGGATGTTGTCTGGGCCAGTGGCTTTGTGAGGATTAATCCTCCTGAAGTTCCTCCTTACTTAACGCGCTGAGGAACTCCTATTCAGATGGTGAGACAAGGCTGTTCAATTGGGATCTTCAAAGTGGGCATATAACCTCCTAAGAGCATCAGGTAGTGATGGGTCCCTAGGGCATTGTGAACCTCTGCTTTTATAGTCTGTGATGCACTTAATGCCTTTCCAAATGCTCCATGGGTCTTGGAGGAAAGGAGAAACTGAGGAGGAGAAATGTCCTTGTATCTTCCATGCATACATGGCTTTGGCTCTCTTAATACCAGCAGCCAGCTCTTTCCTTGCCCTTCCCAGTTCCTGTGAGTTAGCAGACCTGAAGACAGTATACATGGCTTTCAGCAGGCGGATCTCTGCGTTCAGTGACGGTTTCTGGTTGGGGAACGAAGAGGTTCGAACCCTGCTGAAAGTAAGAGTTGCATTCAGGCCCAAAAATCCGATAAGACCTGGCCCCAGCCCGCAGTCATAATTTCCGAACTCCACCCGACCTAACAGTAATTACAGGTCTGAACCCAGAAAAAAAAAACACAACATTTTTAAATGGTTATTAACGGTTGGGGACGCACGGCTGAATTAAGGGGCAAAAGATTGGAGCTGAGGGGGCGTTTGTCCTTTCAAGGACGTAAAAGAACATTAAAACCCTGTTTCTGCTGCATTCTGATTTATTCAGTCATGGAGCCTGCTCTGACACGTCTGCAGGATCTCACCTGTTAGGGTAGTCGGCCGCGCACGTGGATGAATGAAAGCAGAATATCGGAACTGAGGGGTGTTTGTCCTTTCATGGCTATAAATTTAAACCCTTTTTCTACATGCATTCTTCTAAATTACTCAGACACGTGGACAGTTCTGACACACATCTGCTTTGGGATACACCTGCCTGTCGTCGGGGACACGCAACTGAATAAAAGGTGCATGGGGTGTTTGTCCTTTCATGGCCATAAAAGAGCATTTAATCCCTGCTTCTGCCTGCATTCCGATTTATTCACGGACCCTGCTCTGACACGTCTGCTTTGGGATCTCATCTGTTTGGGTCCTCGTCTGCTGAGTGCAGCAGCTGAATGAACGTTCATTTGGGCAATGGATCGCTTCCTGGCAGTATAGTCCCATCTGAAGCTTAATTGAACTTTTTTACATTTTTCAAGGCCACTCAGCTCGCGGTGAAATGGCCGCGTGCAGCTGGTGAATGTATGGCAGGCCATGTTATCATATAACTGGATCACGGCTGATCCTGACCCAATTAAAAGCCCGAATCCGCCCAACCCCGCCCATCCATGACATTGTCATGGCCCGGCCCACCATGAATTCAGGTTGGATGGGGCCCGGCTTAGGGCTTGGGTAGAAATGACAACTCTAGCTGAATGCCAGGGATACTGTCTTGAAGTCTGATGACTCACAGGAACTACCACTGTCTCCTGACCATACAACATAGCTGGTCTCACCATTGTCTTGTAAACTTTCCTTTGGCCTTTGCTGACACCGTTTTGTCACAAATCACACCTGAAACTTTTCTCCATCCACTCCATCCTGCTTGGACTCTCTTTTTCTTTTCTTTACCATACTCCCCATTTTCCTAGACAGTAGACCTCATATACTTGATGTCCTGCCCCTTTGTGACCTCTGCTCCTTGTAGCCTCAATGTTCCACCTGCCTCCCTCTCATTCACACACATTTACTCTGTCTTACTACATTTGACTTTCATTCCTCTTTTTCAATTGCATACCTGTTTACTCTGCTCACGTATGATTGTGCAGCTACCCATCCAGGCTATCACATTGTAAAGTTTGCAGATGATACAGCGGTGGTGGGATGCATCACAAACAATGATGAGTCCAGCTACAGGCAGGAGGTGGAACACCTGGAGAGCTGGTGCAAAGAGAATAACTTCACATCAATGTGAAGAAGACAAAGGAGATGATTGTGGACTTCAGAAGGAACAAAAACACCTACGCCCCCCTGAACATAAGAGGATCTGTAGTGGAAGTGGTCTCCAGCTACAAGTACTTGGGTGTACACATGAATGACAACCTCAGCTGGAGCAACAACACCACCAGCCTGATCAAGAAAGCTCATCAGAGACTCTACTTCCTCAGGCGGCTGAGACGAGCTGGTCTGGAAGCTCAGTCCTCACCTCCTTCTACAGGTGTGCAGTGGAGAGCATCCTGTGCTCCAGCATCAACGTGTGGCATGGAGGCTGCACAGCTGCAGAAAGAAAAGCTCTGCAGAGAGTGGTGAAGGCTGCACAGAAGATGTTGGAGTCAGTCTCCCCACCATCACAGACATCTACACCTCCAGATGCAGGAAGAGGGCCACCTGCATCATGAAGAACCACACTCACCCAGCACACACACTTTTTGCCCCACTCCCCTCAGGAAGGAGGTTGAGGAGCATTAAGTGTAGAACCATTAGACTGAGGAACAGCTTCTACCCTGAGGCTGCTAGACTCATGAATCTCTAACTAGAATAATCACTGTGAAAAACCATATCATGTTGCTGCTGATCTGTTTCATGTTGCTGCTGATCTGTTTCATGTTGCTGCTGATCTGTTTCATGTTGCTGCTGATCTGTTTCATGCTGATGTGCATGCGTGCTCATCTGCTCACACAGACTCATGTTCATGTTTGTGCTGATGTTCAATGTTTTTATGCTATTAGTGCTTAGTGTATTTTTAGTTGATGTTTTTCTTAGTTCATATCTTAGATCTTATTACTGTTTTCTTATCCATTTTATTGTTTGATGTAACTGTGACCCTGTGTACCTAATTTTGTTGCACCACATGTGGTGCAAATGACAATAAAGAATCTCTGACTCTGACAAATGCATCTTGTCTTGTGAGCACCTCTAGCTTTAAGCACTGCCAGTTCTGGCTCAACACTTGACAAAAGGAGTATGATGCGTCATTATGATCAGAACAACAAATAAAACATTGTATGCAGAGATGATATTGAAAATAGCTGCTGAAGATCTTACCTTGTGACTCGGGGGCTTCGATCTGGGAGGTCTGGTTGTTTTCTCTTCTTCTCTGCTTCTCATCTTCCCAAATAGCCTGCAATCCCGGGTTCCTGCCAGTCTGACCTGGATGCAAACCAGAGCCCCGACAAACACAGTCAGCTAACAAAACCCACTACACTTCAGGTCAAGCAGAGGAGACCTATTTTCAAAGGTCTAGTTTCAACAAGTTAACAAAAAACAACAACAACAACAAATGAGTTAAAACGTGCTGCTTCTAAAAAGACATCTTTCTTTTCTTTAGTGAAAATCTTGGTGAGGCTTACAAACACAATATGACCAGAATGACTTGGCCTGATGACAATCCTGAGTAATTTGATTCACTCTTTCGAGTTTAAAGGCTCCAGTATACTGCTGCGTATGTCCGTTCACGCGTACGTATGCGTGTACTGTACAAAGAGGGTTCAAACATTATACTCCAGCGTACACCCCGAGCAGCTGCAGAGCAGCTTCACAGACAAGGGGCGTTCACCTTCGGGACAAATTGAGGTTGCCGATTGTTCATTTGCTGACACGCCTACTGGATTGATTGACAGGTCGGAAAAAACAAAAAAAATAAACGCGAGCGCTGGCAGCCTCAGCGGTGTTCTGTGTTTATATTTTGTTAATAAAAAGATCTAAAAAATAAAAAAACAGAGCGCTGGCTCTGCAGCCCACACATCAGACCAGCCCACCAGGAAATCTCCAGACCCTCCCGCAGCCACGCTGGATCTGAGTTTAATTCGCTCGTGACTAATTCCTTCATTTCTCACCATTTCAGTCATGGCATCAACGGAGGAGGAAGAGATCACTGCCTCTTGACAAAAAACAAAAGAAAAGGCCAGATCAGGGATGAAGAAGGGGAATTTAATACATTGGTGTCACATACAAAAAAGTCCGTCGCTGGGCGGTTTATTGTGCGACACCGTGTATGCGGTCGTAAAAATTGAGCTTTGCACGGACATGCCCTGGAGGGTACGCTCGTACCTCTACGTACGTACGTGCGTACCTCTGCGTATGGATGTACGCAGCAGTATACTGGGGGCTTTACTGATAAACATGTGACTTTAAATGTACAGTTAAAACCTCATTCCAGACATTATTTATTTTTGCCAAATGTCAAATATTGAGAAATTTTTGAAGTTCTTTAAAGTTTACATACACCAAGATTTTAAACAAGCTCTTACACGCCTTAAAACAATTTGGGAAAGCCCAAGCAGCTCACTGTTCACCTACATTCAGTGCCAGAATATTGAAAGCCTTTGCCAGTAGATATCCACCATAGGGCTGCAACAACAAATCAATAAAATTGATAAAAATCGATTATTAAAAGTGTTGTCAATGAATTTCAATGATTTTTTTGTTGTGTTGCGTGATTATTAAAAAGGCGCTGCGGAGCCGTTTAGTTCAGCTGCAGTTCATTGTCGATGCTGACTGACTGAATAAAGTAAAAAACAACAACTCTGCAGCGTGAGCTGAACAGAGCGAGGGGGGAGGAGGAAGCAGAGCAGAGTCGGTGTTTTCAAAGGAAATTAAATTAATTTTACAAATGACCGAAAACTGTTCGACACAAGTCCTCCAAAGTGTGTGAGCTCTTCACAAAGATAAAAACTGAGCAACATGCAGCTTTGAAAAGTGACGACACGACACGGGAGAACCACGGAGATGAACGTAAACATGTCTGAGTCACGAGGAGGAGGAAGGAGCTGAACAGCTGATCCAACTCTTCATGTGTTGCAGGTGAGTCTCTACAATATTCTACATTTGTTCTGTTTCAAGAGAGAAAACGTAACGTCAGTCTCTCTGGAGCTGAAGCTGCTGCTTGTTCTCTGATTCATGACGTGATGGAGAACGTGTCTTACTTTTTATTTTATTTCATTGGAACAAGCAGAGTTTAAATGTGATTTATAAATAAATCTAACACAAAGAAATTAATTAAATGATTGAGCTTCAACTTTTAATTTGCTGACAAAGTCTGAAGACACTGCAGGTATGGCAGGATGAATTGCATTTAAACAGGAATTAATGTCATTTATTACATCTACTCAAATGTGTGTAATTAAGTATTTTATATATGTGTGTGTGTGTGTGTGTGTGTTTAATTGCTCTTTTAGCTACTTTTGTCTGAACCTAACACTGTAAGTGAAACAAAGCGTTTCTTGAGTTGCTGTAAATTATGCTATAAAACATATTTACTGTCTCATTCCAGAAAACAACAACAACAACAACAACATCCTTCATGATGGACAGACATCATGGACACCACAGCAGCAGCTGTCTTCACTGAAACATCCTGAACATGATCGTCACTGACATGAGGCCTCTGTCCATGGTTGAAGACGAAGGATTCACTACAATAATCCACACTTTTAATCCAGGTTACAATAATCCACACTTTTAATCCAGGTTACAATGATCCACACTTTTAATCCAG